TCGATCAACCAATTTGCCAACCAGTTTATTTCATAATATCAAAATTGTATGAATGAAGTTTAGCGTTCGTTCGTTCATTCTTTACGTAAGTAACGAAAACTTTTAAAAATAAAAGAGGAAGCGAATATTTGTAATAAAAATTTTTTTTCCTTCATAGATAATAAATTTCAATGTAATGAAAGTAGTAAAAAAAAAATTTTTTTTTTTTTAAAAAAATAATTGTCCTAGCCACTTGCGATGACGAAAATGAGAAATTACTAGGATCGGCCTATTTTTTTCATTTTGCCGTAAAAACTACCTTATCAATCAATCACGCCTTCACTAATTGCTCCTTTAACATGGTGATAAGGTAAAACTGCTGGTTTTTCGAATTCCCATGCGAAATATTTTTAAATATAAATAAAATTTTTTGCCGTCACTTTTATTCTATAAGCTAAAAAATCTTCAAAATGAGCAAATTAACGATTTATAATAAAAATAAAAATTATTCGTGAAAAAATTCTTTATTATTGGAAATAATTCGTTCCTAAGTGATAATCGATTTTTCTTAACAGCTTTGAATTTAAGGATTTTACCTTAATTAATAGTAACGAAAATCAATAAATTACGAGAAATTAGAAATTATAGAATCTGCTTGTTTTCATAATTATTTTTCTTTCCATTACTACTCATTTAGGAGGGAATCGTATAATTTTCAACGAATTTTCTTATCACTCTACACATGATTTACAGTGAAGTGAAATTAATTAGAATTCAATTATGGGAATTATTTTTCCTTTATGTGGAATGGGAAAGGTAAAAATTTTTTTCTTGTTTTTTCACATTTTTCACTTCTTTTTTTCAATGGCTTAAGTTATTAATATAAGTGATTTTAGTCGCTAAAATCCTAAACATAAGCCGCTGAATTTTTATAATTTTTTCATTTAATATTTTTGTGATTTCATTGAGAAAAAATAAGTGTTAGCAGTTTTTTTGTTTTTACTTGATAATTTAGTTTTGAATTTTAGAAAATTGTTTTTTTTGTTAATATTTTTTTTTTTCTAATTGAAAATTTTATAAAAATTCTTTATATTTTATTGTTATTCCTGAAAATACACTGGAAAAAAATAAATATTCCTTATAAAATATTTTTCATTAAAACATCTAATTAAATGCATGGACGAGGAAAAAAATGTCCTTGAAAGTTGACATATTAAAAGGTTGCATAACGAAATTCAGTAGAATGAACGGAGGTATCTTCTTAGATTTCCTCATTTACGATTTAAAAAATATACGATTCATTCGTGAAGGATTAATAATTTCTCGATTTCTCGTTTATTTTAATCTTTATTGGTCGAATAGGTTTAGTCTTATATCAGAGAGCTGATGCTGGGACTTTGATAAGTCTATTTTTCGAAAATCTGGGTGATATCGGCGATTCACCAATATTCTATCGCGAAATAAATCTCTAGCCAAATTTGTTTGGATCTGGCAAGTCACCACTAAACCACTGGACCCCTAATATATTTATTCTATAATGTGCAATTTAAATTGCCAATACTTCGTAGTCTTCTTGAAAAGTCGCAAAATTCAGGTTTTACTGAATGCGAATGCACCACATATTATTGCTTAAACATAAATATTACTATTACTATTTTATATTTGCACCGAAAAAAATTATTATTCACCCGGAGCGTTATTTGGTGACAAAAATGTGTTGGATGTCCTGCATCATCCGAACTTTTTTATTACAGGTTTAATCCTATAGAAAGCGAAATTTCGCTATTATTCATTTAATGGCATTAGAGCTAAGGCATTAGATAGAAAACATCGTCTTCGCTGGTTAGGGCATGTTTTTCGCTTACCATCGACGTTGACGCATATTTCGTTACTTGCTAAACTCTGTGACGGATGGCATCAAAAGCGAGATGGGCCAGCCGAGACCTGGACTAGCGCAGTCAGGAAAGATATTCTATATAACAGGATTAGCAATATATGGACGTAGATGATGGAAAAATGCGTATTATTATCAGTGATCAGATCAGATCGCGCATCTTGGAAACGGCTTACTATTGTAGTCAAGTCAGTCTAACCAGTAAAATGCTGAAAATCGTTAGAAGATAAAGGCATTAGACTTTTAAAGATTTTAAAGAGATAAATCTAAACGATTTAGTATTAATTGTTTTATTGGAATAATCTTATCAGTAATCAATATCAATAATCTTTTTAAAACTTTATTTTATTGAAATCCTCTTTATTTTAATTTTTAATTTGCTAAAGAAACTTTTAAAAATTTATTTTGAATGAATCATTTTATTTTTCTTGGAATTTTTATAATTTCTTTTTTACAAATAAAAAAAATGAAAGAATTGATGTAAGTTATTTTGTTGTATTATATTGTTGTATTGCGCAATAATTCATTCTTTCTCTTTCTTTTCTTTCAATAATTCTTTTTATTTACTATTATTAATTATTATCGTAACTATAGTGCGTCGCTGTTTCGGTGGCAAAATAATTACCACTAAGGAGCGGCGCTTTAAACCCTCCGATGTGCATCACTCTTCGTTTAGGGGTATTATTTATCAACTAAAGGAGAAAAGCAAAGTATAGAATAGAATAGCTCAGCGGGTTACTCAGTTCAGAGCGCCGACACTGATGTTCTACTCCTTGCAAGAGCAAACCTGTCCAAAAATCCGGGTAGTACAGGTGACTCACCTATCGCCAAAGAGACTCCCTGGCTTATTTATCCAATGCGACAAGCCGGAGAGGTGATCCTAACCAGTAAAGCGAGGTGAACATGGACTGACCTAACCAGGAAAGAACATTTGGGGGACCAGCGATATATGGACTTAGACGATGGAAAAAAGGATGGCTTCTATTAGTACTAGCGATCGGATCGAGCAGCTTTGAGCAGCATTTTCTATTATTATTAATAATATTAGTATAATATTAATGGAAATAATAATATTAATAAGTAATAAGTAAAAATAATAAAAAAAGATTTGCATTAGAAAAATGAGAAAAGTTTTAGAAAAAAATATTTTATTTTAAATTTGCTTATTTATTATTTTGCTTATTGTTTTATTAAATTTTTAAAATAATTTTTAAAACAAAAATAACTTTTAAAAAATTGCATAAAAAATTAAATTGTAAATGCGACTATTTCACCATTTAATATTTCTTGTTCAGCGAAGAAACGAAAATGTGTAATTTATTGTTTTTTATTTTTCTTAATAAATAAATAATGCTAAGTTCCATACTAAAAAAAGTTTTATTATTAAAACAAACGTTCATACGCCTATCTGATTTAAAAAAAGGCCTAAAATTAGGCCTATCATTTAGGCCTACCAAACGCCCTCTTCTTTTTTTTGAATCCACTATGTTCGCATATCGCGCAAATGCTCGATGCGAGCATTCTAAGCCGATGAATGCAAAAAGGCGGATGCGATCTATGCAGATGTCGAACTTGTTACTTAGGTTGGTAACTTGAATTGTAAATTGAAATCGGTGAGGAGTAAACTTTTTGAGAGTGGAACGGGTGTTACTCGTGGGTGATTGCAGGTTGCAATTAGTTCCTATGGAAGAGGGTTGTAACGATTCAGACACATCGATGATGCTTATGTATACTTCCAAAAAAAGGTTCAAATTAAGAAAAATTTAGGTTTTTCATGATTTTCTAAAAATTTAACATAGGCTTTCCATTTGTTATTTTTAAATCTATTTCTGAATTTTCTTATTTATAAGTTTTGTAAAAATTTTGAAAATTACTAGTTGAATATTATAAATTGGAATTTGTAAAAAAAATAATTTTGATAAATGTTAAATGTTAAAATTGGTGATTTGCGAGTATAAAAATTCATATAATTCTTTAATATTCATTTATTCATTTATATTTATTTAAAAAATGAAAATTACCGCAATTCAGTCGGCAAGAAATTCTCTAACAAAATTTTTCTAGTACTATAAGCCAGCGGAATGGAACCTATTACAGCAACATTAAGTACCAATCCGCCAAATAAATTCGTCTAGTAAGTTAAGCCAGCGGAGTGGGATCATACCAGGAAAATATATTGTGGTTATTCGTAATAACCGGTTTTCCATAAAATTTGTTTCTTTTTTTTCCACTATATTTGTTTATATTCATAGTGATTCTATTATATATATTTCTGCGTTTATTTCGAAATGCTATGTTGAGAAAAGGAAGGGAAATATTTGTGGTACCATTTGGCGCGAGAGTTGATTTTGCGGGAGATTCACCTTCTTGCATGCTTTATTTTTTTATATGATTGTTTTTGTATTTACAAATATTATGTGACTCAGTTTTTTCATTGTTGAATCTCCACTGTGCTCTGGTTTTCTGCGGCTTTTTTTTTCCATAATTTCGATATATTCGATAGTGATTGTATGGTTGTCGACATGAATGAGTGTTATTTGTTCTATGAACGTTTTTTGACGCAAAGAAAATTATTTTTTAAAAAAACATTTAAAAAATTTCTTTATTTAAAATGGATTTTCAGTGGGATTATTTCATAAATTTATAATTTTTTCTTTTTCTTTTATTTTTTTCCATATTTTCAGAAGGAACCGAGTGGGACAGTTGTAGAAGCAGTAGGCGACTTACCGAATAAATATAATATTATGACGAGTCTTCGATCGCAATTTGGTGCACGTTCTGAACGTTTAGGAAGGAGAATGACTATTGAAGAGGAACACAGCGGAGATTATTTCATGTATGTTTATGTTTATTTTCATATTAAAAAAATAGTTCTTTATAATTACAATTAATCAATTGATTATTATTTCTAAAATTTTATTTTAAAAATTTTAAAATTTTATTTATTATTTTATTTATTATTTATTTATTTTATTTATTTTAACTTAATTTTAAAAATCAAAAATTTGAAATTCATTTTTATTTCTTTCTCCGGAAAATTCATTTTTATTTTTTTAAAGTTAAATTATAAATTTCTAATTTTGATTTTTCACTTTGCTTTAGACAAGAACAAAGAGTTGATAAATTATCAGCGAGTACTCATTTGGAACATTTATGTAAATTAACTATTCGAGAACCACCAAGATTAGTGCGAAAAACTGGAATTATATGCACTATTGGTTAGCAGTATATCCATTAATAAGCTTTACGTTTTTCCGCTTGTAATTGCATTGTAGGTTTAAAATATCCTCGCTATACAGTTTTAATTATATAATTATTTATCGAACAAGGATTTATAGGACCAGCTTGTCGAAGTATTGAAATGCTGCAAGAAATGATCGTTTGGGGTATGAATATTGCTCGAATGAATTTTAGTCATGGTTCACATGAGGTCTGTATAAATTGGATATTTGTCGTTATAAATTCTAATACAGCTTCTAAATAATGAGAATACTCACAGTTTTTTAAAATATTATTTAATAAAGTGAGGCCTTTACTCAGTAATCATGTAGAAGTTGTAGAAGTTGTAGAAGAAATAATTTAAAATTTAAAATGCAAAACGTTATCGCACCTGCATTATATCTCTGCTTGAAATGGAAGGTTTAAAGTAAGCCTACAAAAATGGTCCAACAATATAAATGACTTGGTTTTTGTAGAAGTTAGTTAGTTCTTACGTTCTTCGCAGAAATAAATCCTTAACGCAAGGCGCACAGATTCCCTAAGATTTTTAAAGGAGAGGAATTCATCCTGTTTCCCTTCAAAAGTAAGCTTTTTCGACTACGAAGGAGATGTATTTTTATTAAATTCTTTCTAAAAGTTGCCACCAAGTTTGTTTAATTTTAGTTTATTTTTATTAGGTCATTCAAAAAGCTTCCACATTTATTTTCTATCTGTCTTGTCATTTTTATTCGACTTTCTAATTTTTTTTAGTCCAAGATCAATAACAGTAGAGTGACGTGATTTCTCATGAGAATGATTTTCACGTGATGCCATGTGGAATCACCTGTTTACTTTGTGGAAGAAAAAAGTTTGAAAAATGGGCACTGCTCGAGTTGATTGTGCGGGTGAGGAGAGTTTGAGAATGCTGCTAATGCTTGCTAATGCGAAACAAAATGTTCACCTTCTCGTATGGAATTATACTTATGATAAAAGATGGATTTTGATTCTGTGCGACAATAGGAAAAGATTGGCGAACTGGCTGAATGAATTTTCTCAGTCAGTGCGGAAGCTCGGTTCCAAAAAGGAAGATTTTGTTTATGATTTTGAAGACTTTACTGTAGGACTAATCCACTACAGTTTCTTAAAACCAAGAATGGTGATGGAAAATTAAAGATAGCCAAGTCCACCGGGAAGAAAAATAAACACCGCAGCAAATATAGAAGGATTCATAATTTCGTACAGCAGCAGAAGGTCATGTCATATAAATGAAGTTTGCAGTAATCTACCAAGAGAAGTCTTCTCCCATCATTCTTCTTCGGTCCTTTGAATGCTAAATTTTTATTTCTTCCGTTCTCTTAATATTTTTTTCCGAGAGAAATGATTTCGAAAATAGGACTTTAAAATCTCCTTCCAGTTTATTGGTTCCAAGAAAAAATATTTTGAATATTAATTTTCAAACGACCTAATATTTTTATGGCATTATTGACTAAATTAATCTAATCAATATTCCATTCCATTTATCGCGACTCATATAATTTTTTTATATTTAGAAATAGTGAAAGGAATATGTTGTTTGCTGGGAAATTTTCTCGATAATAAATAAGAATCGGAATTGAATTCGTAAAAAAATTAAAATAATTTTTATTTAGAATAAATTCACTTTCAGTATCATGCTGGAACAATCGCAAATGTTCGCGCTGCAGCAGAAAGTTTCAGTGAGAAGCGTGTCGTTGCTATTGCACTTGATACGAAAGGTCCGGAAATTCGAACTGGTCTTCTCAAAGGGGTTAGTTGATTTTTTGTGAAATCTTTCAAGAAAAAAAGAAAATTCTAAGATTTATTTTTATTTAGGGTCCATCGGCCGAGGTGGAATTAGTCAAAGGTGCAAGTATTCGATTAACCACCGATAAATCGATTGAGAATTCGGGTACTGCGATTAATATTTATGTGGATTATAAAAATATAACCAAAGTTCTTTCGGTTGGTTCCCGAGTGTATATTGATGACGGTCTTATCTCGCTTATTGTCGATGAAATCGGTATTTGTTAAAATTAATTATATAATATTTGTTGAAATTATGAAGTTAAATTGTCTTTAAAAAGTTTTCAGGTTGAAATAGCTATAAGCTTGAGCTAATAGAGATTCAGTTTAAAATAACAATAATTTGTTATTATTGCAATATGCGAAATCTTTTAGATATTGCTTAAATAAGGATAAAAACAAATGTTTCAGGAACGGATGCTTTGATTTGCACCGTCGAGAATGGAGGAATGTTGGGTAGTCGTAAAGGTGTAAATCTTCCAGGTGCTACAGTTGACTTGCCGGCTGTTTCTGATAAAGATCTTAAAGATTTGCAATTTGGAGTCGAACAGGTATTATCGTTCCTGTATTTATGCATTTATTTATATCTTGTTTTGTATAAAAGGTCTTTTTTATCCTTATTTTCGGATTTGATTGCTTTCCAGGAAGTTGATATTATTTTTGCTTCCTTTATTCGAAATGCTGAAGGAATACGTACTATTCGAAAAGTACTCGGAGAGAAAGGAAAAAAAATCAAAATTATTGCCAAAATCGAAAATCAAGAGGGTGTTGACAAGTCTGTCGTTTAAATTTTAAATTAAATTCTTAAATTTTTTAAATTTCCCGAGTAAGTGGAAGATTTTTTTAATGATTTCATGAACTAATTTTATCGAAAAATGAAAAAATTTTATCGAAAAAAATTTTCAGTAGTGATGAAATAATAGAAGCGGCTGACGGAGTTATGGTTGCACGTGGTGATTTGGGTATTGAAATCCCAGCTGAAAAAGTGTTTCTAGTCCAAAAAATGTTAATATCAAAATGCAATCTTGCTGGAAAACCCGTCATTTGCGCAACACAAATGCTTGAATCGATGATTAAAAAGCCACGACCAACTCGTGCTGAAGGTTTGCTATGAGTCAATGGAATTTTATTTCATTCCACCGAACAATGTAAAGCAAGATTTAATATATATATATATATATAATTATATATAATTGATCGCTTCCCATTTACCCATTTTTTCTCAATTTTTTTCTCGAACTCTTTTTGTTAAAGGAATTAATTTACAAATAGCAGATTCTATAAAATATTATATTCATCAAAAATTATTTCGTTATCATTGTTTAAGCTAGAAAAATAAGGAAGTTGAAAGGGAGAATGTGAAACGCACAGTTTTGATTATTTCATTCGTAGTTTTCTATCTGTTTTTCTTTGATGCAGATCTTATGAATATTTTCAAAAGATAATTAATTTAGGAAGTGACGTTGCGAACGCAGTGTTGGATGGTGCAGATTGCGTAATGCTTAGTGGAGAAACCGCAAAAGGAGATTATCCACTAGAAGCGCTTAAAATAATGCATCAAGTAAAAATTCGTAGCTTTTTAATAAAAATTCAAAATTAAGTTGGAAATTTTGTTTTTTTTTTATTGTAGTCTCATTCAAGAGCAAAGTTGAAAGAGGAGATCTAATGAGTCATCATTCTTTTCTATTAAAATATTTCGAATTTGATAGTTTAGATCTGTAAAGAAGCTGAGGCAGGTCTTTATCACACAAAGTACTTTGAAGAGCTTCTTCGCGTGACTCCTAAACCGACTGATGTTTCGCATACTCTCGCGATCGCTGCAACATCGGCTGCTGTTTCATGTCACGCCAGTGCCATAATTTTAGTTACCACTACTGGACGGTAAAATTTCTCATAATGATTAGGCTTTAAATTTATGGCCTAGTGCTTATTAACTTAATTCCCCGATCATAATTTTCATTTTGTTGGGATTTCTTTCGTTGAAAGAAAGCTTTTTGCTTTTCATTCAAAATTCACAAAAAGCTTTTTTTTTAGTTTATATTTAATTTTTATTCTGAAAATTTAGAAAATTTTTAGTTAGAAGATATTTTTAAGAAGGAAATTTTTTAAATTTATATTTTTTATAAACACTGAGTTTTAAAAAAATCAAAAAGTAAAGAAAGTAAAAGAAAAATTAGTTGAAAAATAGCAGAGATAGAATTTTTCGCATTTTCAGTGAAATATTAAGTTAAAAACATTATTTTCAAAAATATGATTTCAGTACGGCTGCATTTATCTCTCGATATCGTCCACCCGTACCAATCTTTGCTATATCCCGTGATGCACGCGCTGTTCGTCAACTACATCTCTGCCGTGGAGTATTTCCCTTGTATTATGAAAGTAATTCTCAAGTTTTTATTTTTTTGGGTTTAAATTTAGAAAAATCTTCATGATTTATTCTTGAAACTTATCAATTGGATTTATATCCAGCAAATGAGCAGTTTTTTAAGTTCCACACTTGTTTTTTCTAAAATACTCTTTTGTTAAGGATCTAATAATTGTGTTTTAATTAGGCTTCGATTTTTCAGTAGAGATAACTCTTTAGTTGAAATGAGTCAAAAAAAGGAATGAAAGGCTACCGGAAACCATTTCCCATCCCCAAATGACTCTATGAGGAAGGCTGATTTTAATTTCAATGCTAAATAATCCGCCCTTCGTCTATTCCAACTATGTTTCGCTTAACCTGGTGGTATTTTTCAAAGTATTAGTACATATATTTAAGTGTGAGGTCAGGTCAAAGAATCAGTGGAAAATTGAATTGTTGAAATGCAAGCATTGAAGATATCGGCGATTTAACTGGAACTCTCCGGATAAGCCAGAGCAATCAGATTCTTATTTAACATCACCAAAGAAGTCCTGTATCGGATAAGTATCCTTGTTATACTAAAGCTGATAAATTTCTAGGACTATTTTATGGTTGCAGGCAAGATGAAGCTGATAAAATGGAGATCCGTTAAAATTCATGATTCTGGTACAGCAAGAATAATTAAGTATGGTTTTCATAACAGTGGCACCTCTAGAACAATTGATAAATGTTGGTTCCAAATGAACCCTGGTCCACGAAAAAGCCAAATCCACTCTGAAAGCAAAAAACGTCCAATGGGGCAATAATTGGCTTCACTGGAGACGGAGATTTCCGGTTGTATCGTAGGTGTGCTAAAATGCAATGTTGGGTGATGAGTGATGGAATAATATGTAATCCAGGATATGGAGAAAACTACTGGATTAGGCAATAGTGAATTGTTTGTAAATCAAATTAAATGTTCTTAGATGAGGGTGAAACTCCTGCTTTAGAAAGCATCGCCTTTCACATCGGAGATTTTTATGGAGTTGAACGATAGGTTTCATTATAAGAAAAAAATATCGAGATATCGTTTTCTAAGAAAAGTGATAATTTAAGTGCACTGGATAATGATAAATTTCGCCTTTGTTTTGACTTATATATTGCGTAATAAATAGTAAATCACTTTTTCATTCACTTCTCAGTGTATTTTTTCTAGTTTTCTTTTTTTTCAAAAATTTTTTTTTTTTGCCTTGTCTATCGTTGTACTTACTCCATTACTGAATATGCAAACACATATAAGTAATTTTTATATCAAATTTATTAAATTTAATATTATTCCATTATCAAATTTCGTGACTTCATGATTTGAATATCGAAATTTCAGTCGAACGTGATCCAGATTGGCCAACAGATGTTGATAATCGCATAAATTATGGTATAAATGTTGGAAAGAATCGAGGTTTCATCCACAAAAATGATATACTTGTTGTAGTAACTGGATGGAGACAAGGTTTCGAGCTTTTTTTATTGTTTGCCATCATTTGTTTCATGATTGAATGATTCAAATTAATTGAAAATTATCGTTTGTCCTCAAAATTATTATTATAATTATTATCAGTTGCAATTTTTTCAACTTTTCTTATGCTAAAATTTTTTAGGTGCGGGTCATACGAACACTCTACGCATAATCACAACTCCATGACAAATGGTTCTGGAAATAGTGCTTATTGATGAAATACATCAAAAATAATTTTTTGGAAATATTCCGATTAGTATATCTCTTTTATAAGCCAGTATATCTCTTTTATAATTTCGTTTATTTTTATTGCTATTATTCATTTATCCAAATTTTATTCTCCAACTAAAATCTTTAAGATAACCGCAAAAATAGCCGACGATTTTTTAATATTATATTTGAGGTATTTTTGAAGGGCGTTAAATTTCTTGAATATCTTTCCCCTTCCATTAAAAATTTGGAGGATATCTTAAACAAATTCTAGTCGATTTTTAATTAAACTTATCAGAATTTATAGTTATTTATGGAAATACTATCATCTTCTGTGTTCATCACCTCACGGAAGATTTTAAAGTTATAATTTTTTATAGTTTTTAATTCAGTTTATTCGTAATTCGTTGGCGTAAAAGTATTAGCGAATGAAATCGTTTATTTTAGTTTATACGCGAATATTTAGTTCCCCGTAAATTGTTACTTTTAAAGTTTTACGTGTTTTTAACGATATTATCTCTAGGATATTCTTTCGCTTCAGTTGAATTTGGCTTTCAAAAGAATACAACTCTGATTAAATTTGACCATTTTTTATTTTAATCTCAACTGCAAATATTTTTTTATCAGTTTATATGGCCAATAAAACAATACATAATTTTTTATCATTCATAACCATGTCCTTTTTTGATGGTACTTCGAAAGAACAATACGGATGGATTAGTGATTCTTCAAATTGGGGGGAACGCATATTTATTTTTTAAAAAAATTTTTCAATTATTTTGAAAAAACATTACTTTACAAAACATTAGAAAAGATAAGCTCTGGACAAAAAAAAAGATGGCAAAAAAATCGTGGACCATACATGCACCAAACAGAACAAAACAAAAACTAACAACAAATGGTAAAGCTAAAATTCATTAAACAATATCACAGCGCAAACAAAACAATAAATAATAGTAAGAAAAAATAATGAAATTCATTTTCCTTAAATTTTTCCTTAAATTTTTTTCAAATTTTCAATTTCCAGCGAATTTATTAAATAAATTAGACTGAAATATTTTTAAAGAACGCCAATAAACCAGAATAAGAATGAAAAAAAGGAAAAAATTTTTGGTCGATCTCTTTAAAATTAGTAATGTATTAAGATAAGTATAATTATAAAAGATGTGAATGTAAAATTCAAATATGAAAGAGAATTCTCTTTTTGAAGCCAAACATAAATAATGAAGATGAAGCAAATGCATTGGATATTTTTGGATAGAACATAACGAAGAAAAAAGAAGAAAAATGAAGCGTAAAATTTTTGCTGTGATATAATTAATAAATATATTAATTCATTAAAATGCTTAAAAATACTTTAATGTTAAACACCGATAGATAAAACAAAAAACAAAAAACCAGAAAAAGAAAGTAAGTGAAAATCACTGTGGTGATAATTATCATATGGAGCTAAACTATATGAAAAGTGACTAAGCGCTGCAAGGAGGATAAAAGTAAGAAAAGAAAAAATATCTAAAGATCCTGTTAAAAATCCTAGCAGATAAGAAAAATAAAATAAAATGCCAACTGTCAGCGATTCATTATTTAACTAAACATAAAATAATATGAAATCCAGATTCCCAGGCGAATCCAAACCAAACTTCCCTTAGCAATAGTGAAATCCCTGAATAAAATAAATAAATTAAGAGATCGAAGGAAATATCGATGATGTATGGATTTATGCTATTTAGTATAATGAGTAGAATGACGGAGTATGTCACTATAATTTCAAATGGTGGTGAGAGAGGCTACTGATATTATCTGCAAATAGCTCGGTGGCAAAAGGATCACACCTCATCAATGGAAATTGGACACGATTGGACTGTTAAAGCACCCAGCAACCAAAGAAAATGAGATATCTTAACTGCTAAACGGCAGCCTTAAAAAAATTAGCATGCTGAATAATTATTGACGCTTTTCTTTAAAAAAGTAAATGAAATGCAAGAAGAACATGAAAATAAAAGATTATATAAAAGTAATAAATGTAATAAATAAAGATTAAATAAATAAAAGAAAAAAAAATCAGATAGATATAATGATAGAGAATCTAACAAAAAACGAAAGATAGAAATTACTGAAGAAAATTAGCGAATAATTACCAATTATTTTTCCTTTTAGCGAAGATATTGTTGGAGTTAAAATCAATAAGTCGGAAATCCAGGAAAAATTTTCGCAAAAATCATGGAAAGAAGTATTCCAATCGTACTAATCCTGTAACATGGATGAATATTTTGTGCTTAAATGGAATTGGAGCAACTGTCGTTTAAAACTGAAGAAAATTTCATGTTGTTATATCTGAACGAATCTGCCTAGTTGATTCTCGCATTGCAAGGGTACCAAATACTTCATCTTCACTTTCATCTGAGTTTGTGATTAAATCAGGCATTAACTGTTTAGCTGATAACAGGTCGTACCTTCGTACTCTCGAATGATTCTTACCATGTCTAAAAATAGCCAAAAAATTTCTTTTATTCCTAATAATTGTAATAATTATAATCTTAATTATAATTATAATTATAATAATTATAATCTTAGAATTAAAATCCATAATTTATTTGCACTTAAATATGGTTTCTCCATATCACCTAGAAATTACCTTACAATATTTTGCATTCACATAAATCCAGAAAAGATTAATTGATAGGAGAGTGAAATCTATGTGTCATTTGAAGTCGGCGACAATATACATCCGTTTGATAAAATTATTGTTCTATTCTATTATTGTTGCGTATAAAAAATAAAAATACTTATGTTGACGGAATAGAACAAATAAAAAACAGAGTTAAAAAGAATGTCAGAAACAATAAAAGTAAAAAATCGACTCCATCTTAAAAAAAAGAGATACTTCTGGTATATCATTTCTGGCTAAATTCTCGTGGTTGGCTTGTTAGACCAGATGAATTTTGTCACAGAATTTCTTGGCGATAAAAATGAGTTACCAAGCCAACAAAACCCAATTTTATTCATAGCAGAAGAACTGCCATATCGGTGCCCCGAAATGAGAAATAAGAGTAATAACACATTGCCATTTAACCGCAAATTATAGTAATATAAGATTATATCACTATTCATTAGACCATTAAAGAATTTCCAGGCTGCAATTCTTTGACCAATTGTATTGAAAAATTCCATTTAGTGAACTTAAACCTGTATCAATATTTAAACAATGCAAAAATACAAACCTATAGAATTTGAAAACAAGCCAAACAAAAATTATGGCTGCAATGATAATGATCACCAGAATTGATCTAAAATTTAATACTATATTCATAAAGATTTATTAGAATTTTCACAAAATATAAACAGACATTAATATAAACAGATAAACAGATCGTATTTTAAACATAAATATAATGAATTTTGAAAATTATGCAAAAAATTCACACCCGAAAATAGCCTAAGAACAAATAATCTATAAATCAATACATAAATATTCATGCTTATTATCATTTATCATATTATAAATTGTCATAAAATAATGCTTTGATAAAAAAATGATTCCAGGATATTCACGAATGAACGACGGAAAATTCAATATATATTTTAATATTTAATATTTTCTTATTGACAGAAAATTTACCAATAATTTTCTAATTTAAAGATAAGTTTTAAATTTGTATTAAAATCTACTGATAATATTTTAATTATATTAAAACTGACTAATTCTATATCATGAAAATAACGCGAAAAAATGATTAACAAATTTTCCTTCGAAGATTATACGTAAAATTACATAAAATAAAAATTCTATGAAAAAAAAACAGTATAATCTAATTATTCATGCAGTACCAACAACCTACAAATATTTATTTCTAGTGGCACTCATGATTACTGGTTAGACTCGCTCCGCTGGATTTGTCGCACTAAATAAATATGCCAGAGAATCCTATTGACAATAGAAGGCTTTGGACAGGTTTATTCCAGCAGCGAGTCTCAGTATCTCAGTATCGGCGCTCCGAGTTGAGCAACAACTCATTGAGCCATTCCCACTAACTTCAGATTTATGTTAATATTGATGAGGAATACTCTTCATTCTCTTACTACTATGAAATGAGTTATTAAATTCTATAAAGAAAAGCAAATTTCGAATAATTTCTGATTAGGCTCGAGCGATTATACGAAAAATTTTTTAGCAGCGAGTCTACCGAAAATCTGAATTATTCCCTCCCCCACTGCCCCCTCCCCCCGTCCTACCACATTCCTCTTCTTTGTTTCTTGTTTCTTGTTTAATAGTCTATTTGTTATTATGTGAATAAAATTATTCGGAAATTTCATTTGAAACGATTCATAAATGACAAATACTGCGAAGAAAAAAAAAAAGGTACCAAAAATGCAAACCTTAAAACTGCCTTATCATCCATATCGAATGCGCCTTGCTTATGCGGTGTATTCATTGTCATTAATAATGTTCCTTCCATTATTTCCATTTATTCATTATTAAATATTTGAAATTTTATATTTAAAAATATAGCAAAAAACAAGTCATCGATATTATTAAAAAATATCTAAATATGAATAAAAAATTAGCTAAAATTATTCGATAGTTTTTTAATTTGAATACTACTAAAATATGATTAAATATTTTTGATATTAAACAATTTAAAATCTATAAAAGAGAATTTGATTTAAGGTCAATTTAAAAATCAAATATTGGACTACTTGACCTGTCTATCGGGCTATTTGACCTATAAATCGAACTTTTAACCTAAAAACGAGTCGGATTATACTAAAACAAAACAGAACAAATTTATAATAATTTCTCAAATTAACTGGAAAACCTCCAAACCGCTTTATCATCTCAATAAACGCCTAACAAAACCATTAAAACCAGTTTAATAAATGAGGGCTGCAGCCGCGACTGATTTTTAGTGTTTTGCAAAAATTTGCCTATTTTGCGCCATGTTTTTTACTATAATTGGGTGGGTTGGTTGGCGCGGTTTTGTGTTTTGGCCTGAAAATAGACTATTTTTGTCAGATTAACGTGAGTACGGGTGATTTTTACTTAATTTTATCTTAAATGTATTGAAATCTTCTATGGTTCCATGTTTTTTCCAGTATATTCTTCATTTATCGTGGAACTTCCTTAAAACCGCAATTTATTTTAGTGTTTTCTAGCGTGATCCACGTCTCCGTTTGATTCTCTCGGCGGTCGTAGGTTTATCTTCGAAGCTGTTCACGTCATTCACGTCAAAAGTGATGAAATCGCAAACGGCTATTATATACTTAATCTTTCATGCGCTGATAACTGTGGTTGATAATCTTTCATGCGTTGATAATTTTATCACTAATAGTTGCTCCAAGACTTTGGTGATACTTAGACGGTCGCATGATCTCTGCTGACATACCTGTCAAAATGTCTGCCTTCTCGACTATGTATTTATGGTGTATGGTGCATGTATCTGCCATGTCTTTTTACTTATCGATGGTTCTTTTAAAGAAAAAATCGTTTTTCGTGAGAAGGGAAGACTTCTCTCCCTTAAACTCACTCTTCGATAGATGTTTTCCTGGAAATGAGAAATAGGGCAATTTTATTTCATTCAAATTATGAGATCTTTTTTCTCTATCAATGAATATATCTTTTAAATAATGTAATGCTTTGATTCACATATGAAAAGTTCAGCTTTCGAAGAACCATTTTTTTCAGGAGTTTTATTGACTTAAAATTTCTGAATCAGTTAGTCAGACGCTGCAAACCTATTTCACCTCATCGTTCAGGGTCGTTAACGAATTATAATAATCCATGATTTTTTTGAATTAACAGCGGAGATTTTGTGCAATTTTTTTTTGATATAAATTTTTATAGTTTTAAATTTTATATAAATTTATATTTGTAATTTTTTTTTTTGGAAATGGACCAATAGAGCGAAAGAATTCGTCGTCTTTATCAGATAGAATTCCACAGTGTCTATTATCAAATGAACGCATAGCGTAGCTTTTACTTAGGACTTTCGCCGTAATTCGTTGGGTTGGTCGAGAAATCCGCAATTTGGCTAGAAATTCATCGTATAAAATAAATTTAGAGATTCGATTTCTCAAAATTTTCATCAGCGACCTATTTTGGCTCTGTTTTTTTCTCTGTTTTTTTTTTAGCTAAATTTGTATTTTATTTCAGGCGATACAGTTAAGGGCAAATCAAATCATTCACAATGAGTAGTTCAGAGGAAATGTCATGGATCACTTGGTTTTGTGGACTTCGTGGGAATGAATTCTTCTGCGAAGTACTTTTCTGTCATTTTCATTTATTTATAATTATCGCGGTCTTCTACTATATCTTTAGTAAATGATAAGAAATTGTTTGATATATTAAAAATACTATTTTACTATTACTATTATACTTTTCTATTTAAATAGAAAATTTCGCTTGGATTTAAGGAATCTTAGCATATTTTAATGCAAGTGAAAGAATATAAATAGGTAGACTGAAGTGGACAAATTGCTTTATTTGACATTAAGGAAGAGACATTAAATATTTTGGACGATATTAAAGAATCACAGCTAACTAATAAATAATAATGGATATAGGGATAAGGACGGTAAAACTAGCGATTAGTAAAATTAGTAAATTGATTTACATGAAATATAATAGGATTTAAAGAGGATGTTTAATATATCTCCATAATACAGTTGCAATATTCGATTTTAAATTTATTACTAGGACCATTTTTTCTTTTTTGAACATATCAAATATTTTTCCTAGGTTGACGAGGAATATATTCAAGACAAATTCAATTTAACAGGCTTAAATGAACAAGTTCCTCATTACAGACAAGCATTAGATATAATTCTCGATCTGGAACCTGGTATATCTTAATTTTTTCTGCATTTCTTCAATAAATATATTAGCAATAATGATTTATCAGTAATGATTCGAAAATTTGGCGATTAGGCGGATTGCATAAAGAAATATTTAGATGAAGATTTTGATGATAATCCAAATCAAACAGATCTTATCGAACAAGCTGCTGAAATGCTTTATGGTCTTATTCATGCTCGTTATATTTTAACGAATCGTGGCATTCAGCAAATGATTGATAAGTGGCAAGATCATGATTTTGGATTATGTCCCAGAGTTTATTGTGAGAATCAGGCTGTTCTTCCTATAGGTTATTTTTTTCCAAGCGTTTTCTTTTCTTTTGAACAGATGGAAATGAATTATTTAACGAATATATTTTGAAATTTTTATATTTCAAAACAATCTATGTTTTGTTGCTTAAAATTTGTTAGATAGATTGGATTGGATAAATTGCCGTATAGAAATTTTTATATAAATTTATATGTTATAACATATTTATTCTTTTCTCTTAAATTTTATACAGATTTTTTTAATTCGCGGTAGTTTTTATTAATTAGGTTTGTCTGATGTTCCTGGTGAGTCAATGGTAAAGCTTTATTGTCCAAAATGTTGTGATGTTTATTTGCCGAAATCTTCAAAACATCATAATACGGATGGTTCATATTTTGGCACTGGATTTCCACATATGCTGTTCTTCGTGCATCCAGAGAAAAGACCACCAAGACCAGCCACTTGTTTTGTACCTAGGTTTTTTTTGGGGATTTTTCTGTTTTGTATTCCTATCTTCTAGTTACTTCGATGTTTATAGATAATTTCCCTTATAGTTATGAAAAAATTATGAAAAAATAATGGGAAATGAATTTACTAGAAAAATTTTATTGTAAAAAGAAATTAAGAAAGGGAAGTGAAAAATATAAAATGTGTAAAATGAATGCGATGGCAGACAATTAAATATTATTTTTGAGGTTATATGGATTTAAAATTCATCCGATCGCATACGAACTGCAATATCAAGCAAACCAAAACGGTGGGTCACATAACGCCAATAATTCAAATACACAATCCAACTTGGCTACATTTGGCGCGAAATGAATTTAGTCGTGATTTGATAAAAGGCTTGTTGGTTAATTTGATTGACTGGTTGAATTTTGGCTGTTGATTTAAATAATTTATGATTTGTATGTATCTTATTCATGCATATTCAAATTTTTATGCAACTTTATTTTTTTTTACATTTTCCAAATATTCATTTTTTTTGCTATTAGGAAGGATCTACATATATCGTAAAAATTTTATCTTTGATTATTTAAGTTTTCATGCATTGTGTATGTATGTTTATTTGTGTGTATGTTAATGTTGAAGGGACGAGAATTATTTTTCCTTAAAATCGCTGTCATTTGTGACAAGCTGCAAATATAAAAATGCCATTTGAGATATGACGAACATTTCAAACGTTTATCAAATTCTGTCATGTTGCTTTGATTTATTTTCCTTTAAAATTATTTTTATTTATTTTTATTCCTTTAAAATTATTTTTTTATATAACGGGATGTGTTTTCTCATCAAAGCTGCATATTTTTTTTTCTCTGAGTATTCATTTGAGCGAGAATTATTCAATAATGATTCTAAAATTTCAAGAAATATTTAATATCATAAAAACACTTGCAGTGAGAATTTCGTTCATATATCTATGGTACTACTGAATCTATGGTACTATGAAAAAAATGGTACCTTTATGAAGGTGCAATATTAAAAAAAGGATTGGAAAATTGTAAGCTAATAAAAAAAAAGTTAATATTCATATTGTTTTCTTTTTATTTTCACGTTTCATTGGAATGCCTTCTTTACGTTTTACCTATTATAGAAAAAATATTTGATGATGAAATACTTTAAGATTTTCAATTTTGCCAACTCAAAGACGATAAATTCAACGGATAAATTAGTAATGTGTGAATCGGAACAGAAATAAGCATCGCATTGTCATGCAATGAGATTTTCTAAAGAAATCGCAAAATTTAGCTCGAGTTTTACGTATTTTAATCGGGGGTTATAGATTTTAAAGTTTGAAGATTATATGCTTTCTTAGAGATTTAATTTCAACTGCCATTTTTATATTATTATTATTATTATTGTTATTATAATATTATTATTATTGTTATTATTATTATTGTGACGTTATTATTAATGTTATTGCTTGTTATTGCTTCTCATTACTATTTATTATTATTAATTGTTAATTTATTATTATTAATTAATTGTTAATTAATTATTATTATCGTTATTATTATTATTATTATTATTATTATTATTATTATTATTATTATTATTATTATTAATGCTATTACTTGTCATCATTACTATTATTATTACTATTTACTTTACTATCATTAATATATTATTATTAATTATTTATTAATTTTTAAATATTTATTATTATTTATTATTTTATTATATAATTATTTATTATATAATATTAATTTATTATTATTTTATTTATATTGTTATATTAATTTTTGTTATATTATATTACTTTTAATTATTATATTATCTATTATTATTTTATTATTATTTATAATTATAATTATTATGTTATTTATTATTATTAATTGTTAATTATTTTTCTAAGAAGCCTTCATCATTATGGTTTAGCCTCGTTCCACTGGCTTGTCGCACTGGATAAATATGTCTGGGGAATATCTTGACGATAGAAATACAGATGAATCGCCAGAACCAGCATAACTTGAATTTTTAGATAGGTTTGTTCCTCCTAAAAGTAGAAAGTAGACGTCGGCGCTCTGAATTGAACAACCATAACCCACGGAGCCATTCTGCTTCTATCATTATTATTTATTATCATTATTGACTATTTTTTATTATCAATCAACAAGTGATTCTATATGATGAAAAGATTTTAACCGATACTAACTAACTAGAAATGAGGAAAAGATTTGTAGAAAAAGGAAAATATATTTTATCGTCACTTATAAAAAATGAAAATGTTGCACGAATTGTCATTTATCCAAAGGTATTTTTTCGATCTTTTTCGATTTTTACAAAAAAATGCAAGAATTTTTCTTCGATAATGCCTCATATCATATTATATTGCGATGTACGACGATGGATAGTGTTGATTAATTTATTCTAAAGGAAGCCATTTCTTGGTGATGAACTTAGCCGAAGCGAAGCCAAACTAATCAAACCTAATAATAAGTGCTTGCGATTTTATTTCCATAGATTTATTAATTTTTCTTCGTCTAACAGCTTTCATTTATTACTAATTAGACTGATTTTGTTATCTATAAAGATAAGATAAGTTTCCAAGTCGTACGATCGCTGATAGTGATAATGATAACAGATCATTTTTTTTCCTATCGTCTAAATCCATATATCACTAATTCATCGATATAATTTTGATAATTTTATCAAGAAAAAACTTCTGACTTAATTCTCATCGATGAAAATTTTTCTAAAATAAAAGAATTTATGATAATAAATTATTTGCATCGTTGCTTCTTAGCAATTTTCATTATCATTAATAAATTTCAATAATTGTATAGCATCTGAACGTCCAATTAGTTTATTCAATCAGTAATGGCGAATGTTGTTTTTTTTGTTTTAAAATTGTACGAATCATGAAAATCGTGAAAAACCACGAAAAATAAATATTTTTATTAGATTATTAACAAATAAATTTTTTCTTGCGTCGTTATTTACAGTGATTTTAGTTATTATTTGACTCGAAAGGAATTATTTCGTTTTGTTTCTATCTCAAGTCAAAATCGATATGTGTGGATCTTCATCAGGTCGGGTCGGAGTTGATATCTGTGGATCTTCATCAGGTCGGATAGGAATCGATATCTCTGGATCTGACTCAAGTCGAAATCGACATTTTCTTATTTTTTATTATTTTTTATATTATTTTATAAACTTTTAATTGACTTTCTGTCGATGCTTTCCGATTTGTACTAAATTTGAGATAAAATTTATCAAGTGATTTAATTTAATTGGTTTAAAATTAGTATTTTTCATGCATTTCGTGTTTGCAATAATAATTATTTTAGATAGAAAACTGAAGTCGAAAAGACGTATTTTTATGTTTTTTCTTTTTCAAAGGCAATTTTATCTTTCGTGAAAATATTTCGTTATTTTGAAATTTTCGTTCGCAAAATTCGCTCAAAAAAAAACTTTCGTTTTTTTTAGTGGAAATAATTCAAATTATTTTAAAAATGTTGATATTTTATAGCGTATTTAGTTTCTATGAAAATTCGTCCAACATTTTCCACGAATTTTTGCGGATTTTAATTTTTTTCTTTTTTTTTCGATTCTAAAATTGATCGATTGAGGTCGATTTTCATTTGTAAAAGAATATTTTTCTTGTATGAAAATTTGAAATTTATAGTCAATTTTATGAAAAATTTTTATTAGATGCTTTCGTTCTTATTTAGCTTTAGTTCCTTAGGTGCTTTGGTGCTAATATATTCAACTCGATTGGTCATTTGTGGATAAACGTGCAAAAATATATCTGAAGCGTCACATCGCTAATTTTTATATGATAAGATTCCTCGTATAGAAATGAAAGTAGTAAATAGAAACGAGCTTTTATGCTGAAAATGATAATCCAAGTTTTAGCTTAAAGTATATTTATCAATTTAATTGAAGAATCTGATTACAATACAAAATCAATTAATGAAAACAATGATTTGATTAAATTATGAAGAAAAAAAATCTATTAAAAAAATATATTTATTCATTCATTTATTTATTTAAAAATTAAAATTATTTAAAAATTCATTTTTTATAAAATTTTTCAAATAAACTTTATAAATTTGGAATTATTATTTTAAATTTAGCTAAAAAGAATTTTGCTAATTAATTATTCAAATTTATAATTTTTTAATTAATTATTTTAGAATTTTTTGTGTTAATAAATTTATTATTTTTAATGAAATCTAATTAAGAAAATTTAAGAAAATTTAAATGATTTAAGATTTATTAATTATTTGGTTGAGAATAAATAAAAATAATGATAGCATGACTGATACACAGCTGATTTATCACAATTATAGAAAATTAAGAAGTGGTTAAGCTTAAGGTTGAGCGGTATCATGCAAATGTAAGTAGAGTTCATTCCTTGATGAGAGCATCAACAAGAGCTTATTTTTAGATTTATCCAGCGAAGCTTTCTCAAAGATTTGTTAATTGCGCTTAAAGCCTTAAATTTTGCAAATTCAAGATCTATGCCTATGATGTAAAAATATATAATATTATGAGATATTTTTTAAATTTATTTTTTACCCCTTCCATGAATTACTTATGAAATATTCTAAAAATATAAAATATAGAATGAATAATCAAATGTTATGTTATTCATCGCTAACTGAAGTGATAACCAATATAGCTGAAATGGTGAATGCAAAAAAAAAGAAGCATTATCATTTATCATTAGATTATCATCTATCAATTTTTCATATCATTTGTCAGTTCTCTGCGAGCTATTCGATTATTTAACTTATCTCTGTTTATTCGAATCGAAAAAAAAATTTTTTTTTTTTGGTACATAAAATTTTATTTCAATCATTATTTGATAGAAAATAACAACATTACAATATTAAAGCTATTATTAAAATAAAAGGTTTTTAAAATTTTTTTTCATTTCTTTTATTTTTTTAATCACAATTCGAACTATTTTCATTGAAATTACTGTAATTATATCATTTATAAACAACGGTTTAACCAATGAATGATTAGATTGAAGAAAATGGAAAACGTTGAAAGGAACAAAAGGTTTTGTTGTAATAAAATTTTCAAAAAATTTTTTAAAAATTTGTTTTTATTCGCTAATAAATCATTCAAATAGCGAATAAATAAGTAAATAAGTAAGTTGAAAATAAGCAAATTAGTTGAAAAATAACTAACTAAGTAATAAGTGATATAAGTAATAGAAATAATAACTAAGTAATATAAGTAATAAGTAAGTTTATTGATTCAACTGAAAGTTATACTACTTTTAAATACTGCTTTTGAATTAATTTTATTTATATTTAATTTTTTAAGAATCGAAAAAAATTACTAAACGAAGGATTCTTCTAAAT